AAAGAAAAAAACTATTTTAATACTTGTCAAAAAAAACAAAAAAATGGATGTACTCTATTTCCAAAAAAAATAATAAATAAATTTTTAATTTAGCCAAACTAAATACAAACTCAGTCAAGCTGATATTAAAATTTAAAAATAAATTTATTTATTTAAATAAAAGTAACTAGATTAAATCTGTCGTACATGCTTTGAAGGTTATCTTTTGATCTCTTGTCAATATAGGTTTGCGAAGAACCAATAAAAATATGTGGGCGATGGAATGCTTATGAGGTATTTATTATAGCTGTTAAACTTAGTTTAATAAATAGATTGATTTTGAAAATTTATGATTCCAAACTTGATTTTAATTAAATTTAAGATATTAAACCCGGTTATATTTTTAGTAATTTTGTTTGAGTAGATGAAAGTTAATTTAATTTTAACTAGGTCAATGCTGTTTTTTTTTTTAAATCAACAACATTATTTTAATAAAATTAATTATTTTAGATTAGCCCGGTGATCTAAGATTTATTTTTTTTTCTCTATGAGTATCAGATAGGACAACCATGATATTTATTAAGAATATTGTCTTTTATATCTTTACCTATATCTCATTCGACAAGAAATCGTTGACTTCTTACAGTTTTATGTCTATAACTCAATTCATTTTATAGTACTTATAATATCTATCCCACTTCCTCCCCGCATTTAATTAAATTTTCATGGTAGAGACATGAACAATCAGGGAGATAAGAGAAACTATGCTATTATTTATTATTCTGATACTCTGGTGGGTTAGTACTAATCGCATCTCAAATGAGATCATATATATCCATTGGTTGGTGGACTGTTATAATATAGAAAAATTGAATATTCTATTTGCTTCCATATCTATATTTGTATAAAAAATAACTATCTCATCATTTTTTTGTTTTAGGATTGAAAATGACTTTCAAATATATAAAATATCATAATATTTCTCTGATTTTAAAACTATTTGAGGTTTAATCTATATTTTCTAGATTTCTTGGATCTCTTTTAATTGTCAATCAGCTTTGATCGAGTTGTTATTTTAAGCCAACCTAATATTTCAAATGTCCTTACTCTTTGTTAAACCCGATTGAGATAAAGAATTGGATAAATTTAGAATAATAAAAATAATTTTTTTAATTTAAAAAAAAATAAAAAATATTATTTTAAAATTTTTTTTAAAAAAAAATCTCCAAAATTTAATCGGTCATCTCTTAAGTTTCATATCATGAGATTAAATACTTGTTATGAGATTTTCTTATTGATTTCTTTAGAATTTAAGCTCGAAACACCACTCGAAGAAACTTTAAAATCTTACTCATGGAGCCATATAACAAGAAAAACGAGTTAATTATAAACTTAGTCCTTGTAGTTTATTGAAAGCAATTAATTAATCCCTATAGCATAAAAATTACCAAATAATCCCTTGAGCAGCTTTGACCTATTCTATTTGCTTCCATATCTATATTTGTATAAAAAATAACTATCTTATCATTTTTTTTTTAGAATTGAAAATGACTTTCAAATAAATAAAATATCATAATATTTCTCTGATTTTAACTATTTAAGATTTAATCTATATTTTCTGGATTTCTTGGATCTTTTTTAATTGTCAATCAGCATTGATCAAGTTGTCATTTTAAACCAAACTAATATTTCAAATGACCATACTCTTTGTTAAACCCGATTGAGATAAAGAATTGTATAAGTTTAGAATAATAAGGATAGTTTTTTTAATTTCAAAAAATAAAATTAAAAAAATATTATTTAAAAAAAAAATTAAAAAAAATCTCCAAAATTTAATGGGTCATCTCTTAAGTTTCATATCATGAGATTAAATACTTGTTATGAGATTTTCTTATTGATTTCTTTAGAATTTAAGCTCGAAACACCACTCGAAGAAACTTTAAAATCTTACTCATGGAGCCATATAACAAGAAAAACGAGTTAATTATAACTTAGTCCTTGTAGTTTATTGAAAGTAATTAATTAATCCTTATAGCATAAAAATAACCAAATAATCCCTTGAGCAGCTTTGACCATCACCTATTTATTTATTTATTTCAAAACTTTTATTCTTTCTTGATAAAAAATTTCCAATTTTTTTACCTGTCTCTTCTCTTCTCTACTTTTCAAAAAAGATTTAAAAAAAAAATAGATTGAAAAGGAAAATGCCCTCTCCAACCAGCGACCCTTCATCACTCCTCATAATTAAAGGAGCAAAACACAAAAGAAAAAGACGAGTCGAGGAAGAACAGGCTGCTAGGACCCCAGTAATCTGTGCCCCCTGTGGAGTAAATATAACTCGTTCTTGGTGTCACTTTCAATGTGTCACTGCCAATATTTCCCATAATTTCCCCCATTTCATTGGTTAGGTTTGGTAGTAAAGAAGAAGCTGACGCCGAGCCTGATTCTTATTTTCAACATAATGTTGGTAGCTATAATTAAATTAAACTGATAATTAAATTCGATTTACATGTTTTAAAAAATAAAATTTAATTCATTTTATTTCTTTAAAGTTCTTTATAAAAAAGGCAAGATGAATATTTTAGAAAAATTAGTTTTAATATTGAAAAGACTAGATTTATAGCATTTTTAAGAATTAAATTCCATTTATAATTCAACTCTTAATACTTTAAAAATTCCAAATATAAAATTTTATTAAAACCTTTACTTTGATTTAATTTAATCCATAGATTCCACACATGCGTAATCAATCTTGTTTACTTCGAAGACAACCCGTTATGGGGCTTCTTAGTATCACATGCTATAAACTTCGTAGTTTCTACCGACATATCTAGCCCCGCAGTAGAAGCCCAGCAGCTAAAGGACCTCGTATTGGTAAATTGAGGCAAGAGACCTCCTCGATCCTCATGTCGTGCTATGCCTGGATACAATTGTCCGAGCTTCGAGGGTTAAGGAGAAAAAAGAGGAAATGAACTCTTCAATTTAATTTGCTCGGAAAGAGAAAGTAGAGAGATTAAAGGATCTTCTACACTTCTAATGTCTCACAGTTATAAGATTCCATCCGGCTGGTAAACTAAATAACGCATTGATTTGAGATTTGGTTCAAGTGAGTTAGTGAAAAAATCTATTTTTTATTTATTAAAATGATATATTTTTTTAAGTTAGAACTTAGATTACTTTATTTAATCCATAATTTGAATAAGAAATCAAATCAATCATAAATCTAATCTTATAATTGTATCAAGCGAGTTCAATGATACCGTAGAAAAAAAAAACGTGAACACTTTGTCAAAAGATATTAGTCTAACCAAAATACTTGAACACTTTAATTTCATCATCAAATTAATTAGAAAAAAAAAGTGACAACAAATGACCCTCACGTTTTTTTTTTTTCCTTTTCTTTATCTCAAAACAACTACTTTTATCAATTTCAGACCCAATATATCATGATGTTTCTCAATTGTCTCCTTCTTTCTAAAATTAACCCGAAGAAAAGTCAAATTCTCTTTAAAAGGACATTGTTTATATTAAGTGTGTTTAAAAAAATCGATCAACCAAAATAACCGGGAAAATAAAAAAAAAATTAATTGAAAAATTGAATTAGAATAAAAAACTGATTAAACTAATTTTCAAAACTATAAATTTAAACAAATTCGGTTCGGTTTTGGTTTTAAAACTAAAACCAACAAACCGAACAAGATCAACTAAGAAATCAAAACTATACAAATTACATGAGGTATAAATAGTTAAATACCGAAACCTAATCCTAAAAGTCACCGCCTTGAACCCTGAGAATATTTATCTCAATATTCCTTTCCTTTTCAAGTTTCAATTAATTTACCTCTACATTTGTCTCCATCTTGAAGATCTCATATTATCTAAATTCTAGCTAAACACAAACTCATCTCTTCATTTCTTTAACTTCTCTTCTTTTTTATTTTGCAGAGGTCTTTTTTACTTTTATGCAAGTTGTTGCAATTGCAGTAGAAAGAGATGATTTTTTTAGAAAAAAGATAACAAGCTAATTTTTAACCTATTACTTTGTGTTGCTCAGTGATCCAAGGCATATCAACAAGAAACAATGATTAATGATCGAATATAAATTTATAGTTTTTCTTATTTACTATAATAAAAATGAATCTATTACAAAATCTTCTGAATGATTAGCTAAATTACATTATTCCTCGCCTGCCAGCTCAAGATTATAATAGTAGGAAATATAAAATTCCAAATAAAGGAAAACTAGTGTTTGATATGTGAAGGATTCGATTTCTTGGTTTTTTTGCCAAAAATCTGAATTTAACAGAACCGAACCAGTTCAGTTTGAACCGGATTTTGGTCTAATTCGGTTAATATTTTATAAAATTAATATAACTTAGTTTAGTTGGTTTTTTTGGTTTAAATCGAACCAATCCGAACCGTGAACACCCCTAGTTTTTATTGCATAAGAAAACCCAAAACATCAACGGACATCCATGGAATTAAGGACTTAATTAATAAGGATTGTTCGATGCTTTGAAACCCAATTAAAAAAATTAATTAAAGGACCCAAATGAGAGTTAGTGTGTAGGTCGGTGACCAACATGAGGTTTCCACCTTTTATAGATGATTCTTCTTCACTTTCTAATCAAAGAGATGTCACGTAATCTTTGCTACCTTGCACCTTCAACGCATCAAACAAACAGAGGATAATCTGCAATCGAGCTTTGTTGACAAGCCTGTCGATTCGTAGTGTTTGACAAGCAAATTAATTAAATTGATTACGTATTTGATGAGTTAACATGAAACAATTAAAAAAGTGGATTTTAACCGAGTTACGTGTTAATTTACCAGGGTTGCACGGTGAACTCTTACACAAAAAGTTTTAAATTTAATCGACCCAGCATACAAGCCGGTGTAATAACTATGTTGATGAAATTGCTACTTTTGACTAACAATAAAAACCGAAAATATATCTATATCAATCACAAAATAAATCTGCAGGGAATCTAACATATCAAATGGAGGTACCAGATGATCAATATAAAAGTGAACCTTCATATCTCTGGTCTTTTGCTGGTATATCTACCAAAATTAATCTCCTTTCCTGATGTTCAGCCGTGCAGACATGTGACGGTTTTCTGCGCTAGCTAGCATCATTCACATTACTTGATTATATGCAGAAAATTAATAAATTGGAACCTGATGCATGGATCCGAAGAAGCTAGATATCCATGTTGCCTGGTAGATTGAGCAAGCTGATAGTTTATTACGCATCCCCCATTTCATGCATGTGAACCACCCTTTATTTAAAAAAAAGAAGGCAAAGTCTTAAGAGTGAACATCCATTCTGTTGATGGTTCCAAATCATCATGACATGACCCATAAGTTCATCTCGCCTGCTGCTAGCTTGAATGTATCTTCGACTGACATTGCCTCTGGATATTGATCAGAAGCTCCGTCGGCCTGATATGAAAGCTCCATAACATTAGAAGCATGCATGACTACATTGAAAACAGTAAGGGGATAGGGATGTTAGCACATTATTCTCTAAATTACTGTAAAAGCACAAATACATCTTTAATAACTGTTTCTTGCACCAAACGTTAGTTTAAGATGCTTCTTCCATATGCTGTATGTAGCCTTGTGCTTAATTTTTTGAGTTAATTAGATTAACAAGGAACTTAAACATTTGACGGACTCTACATGCAGGTTATATGCTTGTAATAACATGGCCGCAATTGTAAGGTATGAAAATGTTCAGATAAGCAAATATTCAAGTAGGCATTTGCCTCCATGGCCAAACCCAAAAGATGATGCCATAATGCAGCAAATATCTACGACACACTTGGCCTGTTATTTGTTTTCCAGCCCCTCATCTCATCCCCAAAACATAAAAAGGAAAGTTACGAGCCAAGTTTGTTATACTCACGTGAACATGTATCATGTAAATGCTACGATACTGATCAGAGGAAATATGAGCAGATACAACATCCAAATTATGCTTCTCTAGTATGTAGAGGATGGTGGCAAGTAACCCTGGCTTCCTTGTTGAACACAAGCTGAATTGTGCATCATCACCACACATGTTCATGACAACATTTGGTGAAAACCATGTCTGGAAGCAAGCCGGAGAAAGAGAGACAGAAAATGAATTCTGAGACACTTTTGAGGTCAAAGGGAAGTTTTTCGATGGTCCCAGAGCAGCAAAAGAGGCTTCCCTCGATCCAACTGTATCTGTCAGTGATGTGATCACTGATGGTTCGTAGTCAATGATAGCTCCCTGGAATTTTTCAACATTCTGTTTTTGCAAGGTTTGGAGGGTTTGTTGGAGGGTCTTGATGTATTTTACTGCTTCATCTACAATACTGGACTTGTCTGCCTGTACAAGCTTCAGGGTGAAATCAATTTGAACTTTGAAGAGAAGCAAAGAAAAAAAAACACATAATTTTCATGCGAAATCAGAACTAAATGCATACAATTTTTACACTTTACGTTTTTTCCCTTCAGTTGGTGGGAGATGAAATAACAATCCAATTATTCAATGCTATAAAAACATTAGCTTTCCATCTTTCGCTATACGCTGTGTCAAACAACCAATTAAATTTTTTTCGATAACTGAGATAATTTAAATTGAAAAACCCTAGGTAACCGATGAAGACAAGTTCGAAGTTACCTGTTCTTCAACAGCCAAAAAAATCCCTGACATGAGTAAATACAAGAACTTGACAGGGAACCAACATACAAGAAGCGAAGATAAGTTAGGTTCTCTCTTAATGAGACCCCAGTGCAACTTCCTACTGAAACTGATCTAATGATCATGTAACCTTAAAGATTTCAAATAATTTCTTCCCTGCACAAATGGATTCAAATTTGTTCATCAAAGCTTTACAAAAAATTAGCAAGGTGATTTCAAGAATCAAAACAAAGATCGCAGTAAAATGAAATTAAACAACGAATAAAACTAACAAAAAAAAAAAAATGAAGTTCCTTGACTTTCATAGATGTAAGGAGCCCCATGAAATACAATCCTATGTATGTTCATCAAGGCATCCAAAACTAGATCGCATGTTGTGGTAATATTAATTAAGAAATGTTTATATTTTCGTCCCTCGTAGAGCACAAACTCTTCTATTTTTTGCCAATCTTTTAGACTGAATTTAAAAATACCTTAGCAGGAAGTTGAGGAAGCAAAGCATGAAGACTAGAAAACATGTTCCTCATCTTCTTTCTCCTTTCTCTCTCAGTCCATATGTGAATCTCATGCTCTGATTCTCCACTACCACCACCATTAACAACCTTCTTATTTCTTGCATCCCCTCCTTTTCTACTTCTCTTTTGACCTGGTACTACTGCCTCAGCCGGTATTTCCGTATCCATTAGGTTACTGGTGGTTGAATAACTATAGTATGATTTCGAGACCAACTTCTTATAATTATCTGAATTATCAGTGAAGGCAGCTAAAAGGGTTTCTCTACAGGTTTTAATGGTGAATATGGCTGATTTTTAAGGGAGTTACAAGGGATAGAGAAGAAGGCAAGCGTTTTTTAACAGAAGGAAGGAAAAAGGTGGCGAAAAGGTGTGGGGCTATGAGATGATTTGGGCTACCAGAAAGCACATGAAACCAAAATACAATCATGAGATAAATGCCGTTATTTGGCAACCAAACAAGAACGGAAGCTCTCATTACCGGAGACTGATCCATCCAAGAAAAAGAAAGGATTTCTCAAAGCAGGCATTCCCTTCATTCAAGTTCCTAGTATATATATTTTGGATTGAAATTCGATTAATATAATTATTAATTATTAAGAAAATCAAATATTAAATAATTAAATGTTATAATTTTTTTTTTACAATTACTTGGTTATATATATATATATTTGTTGATTTTAATATCATATCTTATTAATAAAGTCAATATTATATCAAAGAATAAAATCAAGGATTTTAAATAATTAAATGTTATAATTTTATTTTTTTTACAATTACTTGTGTCTATATATATATTTGTTGATTGTAATATCATATCTTATTAATAAAGTCAATATATTGACTATCGTTGCCTGCCAACTATTAGTGTCTTTTAATCTTTGTTTACTTTTTATTTTTATCATTTTTCTTTATATCATTACCATACATTCCTGACAAGAAAATCATATTATTACTAATTTATATTTGATTAAGAGATTTAAACTCTAATGCTATAATTTTCTAGCTTTTTTTCTAATTTCCCTTAGAATCACAATTTGAAGACCTTTTTTTTATTATGCTTTTATGGTATTTTTCTTGTTTATAAATTATTAACTCCATGTTATGTTTTATAAATTACAAACTCAAGTAAAGTTCAACTTAGATTTTTTATGATCTATTGAAAGGTACATGTTGTCCCATAGAATTTTTTTTCTTCTTTGGTTGTTATTGAATAGCCTTGGTCTATTGAGATTGTTTTAAAAAAAATTGTTGTCATGATTTCAATAATATTTTTAAATATAGTTATCAAACCCATGAAGATTTTTGTTTAAAATCTTCATAAGTTTGAGAGGATATGTTGAGAAAACAAATTAAGATAATAAATTTTGAATTAAAATTCAATTTTACAATCACCAATTATGGAGGAGATCAAGTATTACATCAAATGATGAAACCAAAAATTTTAAATAATTAAAGCTTATAATTATTTTCATAATTGTTTAATTGTATTCTTGTATATACCTTTTAATTGGTTGATTGTACTATCACATGCATCCTATTAATAAAATTTCTTTTTTCTAACATATTACATAAAGAAAAAATGTTTCTTTTTAAAATAAATCAAGGTAATTCCTTCTGAGATTTATTTTTTAATTAAAATGAAAAATTATTATTATTATTTTAAATAAATTACACATTCTATTTTAAAATATTTTGTCTCATGTCATTTATTTTATTGAAATGACATATTTGTATATATTATCACTTTATTCAGTTTTTTTAAAAAAACAATTATTTTCATAAAAATTATACCTAAAAGTTAGAAATCAATCAATATAAGTAAAATATATATTTAAATATTTTTAGTACAAATATTATTGGTTATTTTATATCTCTAAATTGTAATAATAAGATTTAATCAAAAACTATTTAGCTGCTTTAAACATTTATAAATACAACACCGTAACTAATTATCAAATACACTTTTATCCTAGAACATATTATATCAATACCAAGCAGCCCTTTAGGAATGTATTGTTTTCTAAATAAATTAAATTTTTTTCAGTATTTTTAAATAATGATATCAAAATTATAAAAAGAAAAACCAATTCAAATACATTTTTGAAAAAATATACGTTTATATCACATAATACTTTCCAGCCACCCTTCGTTAATCTCAATCTTTACTCCTTTTGAAATTGTGAACTTGAAACTTGCTGGCAAAAAATCTGCTAATTTTAACTAATGAAATATCCTTTTTAAAACCTTAATTCACCATCTTGAAGATTATAATCTAGCTTCTTTTTTTTTTTTTTTCATCATGATAAAAAAATTATTATTTCCTCAATTTTTTTTCCAACATAAGATATTTGGTTATGTATGTTATGTACAATGCTTGATATAAATTTTATAAATTGATATTTTTTTTTTACCTAAAGAAAAGTGATGAATGTGGTTGATTAAAAAAATTTCACTGGAAACAAAAAAATTTTACAAAACTATTCAAATATTTTATTTATTAAAAAATTAAAATTTTTGGCTTATGAATTCTAATAATATTTAAAAAAAAAGTTATTTCAAGTCATTTTTACCAAAACATACTTTAAATTTAAAATCATTTCAAATTTATTTTTTCATAAATTATTTATAAAAAATAACCTTTAAATTAAAGCTAAGAGACAAAAAAAAACCATGTAAAACGATTTGAATTGAGTCTATATTTAAGACAAACCATGTAAAACGGATTTAAGAAATCTTACAATTTCTCCTTACCATCATGAAGTGGCAATTCTGTAAAATAATAACGAATCTCAGGGCAGGGACGACCATCCAAACTTTTTGGCCTCGAAGAAAACGAAGACGTGTCATGCCAAATGACAGCACAGACCATGATATGGCTGTCACTTTCCTAAGAAAATCTGGCTCTGAAACTGCGGCCCAACAACTCTTACGTCCCTTTCTAAGCTGTTTTATTAGGATAGTAAAAGTGTGTGCTTTTTAAAAAAGTTAGTTTTTTTAAATTATATATTTTTAGTTTTTTTTAATATAATAAAAATAAATTAATAACCTATTATATTTGAGAGTGTTTGAAAATGTTTTTTAAAAACTTATCGACACATCAAAATAATCTTAAAAAATTAAAAATATATTAATTTTAAAAAATAAAAAAAATATTTATTTTTTAAAATATTTTTTAATTACAGTGCTAAATACTGCAACTTGGGTTATTGCTATTCTAATGGTGAGTAACCATCAGTTTTCAATTTTGAAACCAACTCTGGTTCAAACCAGTGCTTGTATGAGCAGAGGTGGTGCCTTCTCCCCTCATTTATGATTACCTGTCTTTTGCGACTGAATTGGATGTAACTGGACCACCTTTTTTCAGCTCGATTATGATAGTGAATTATGGTTATAATTCATCCTTCAAAGGTGGAGTATCAGGACAAGAGATGCACTTTTGGCATTAAAAAAACCGCAAATCATAAATGCCATCAGCATCGATAGAAACGCCTGCAAATACAAGTCCCGAAGATTCTCTTGGTTTTGCTCTTTCTCTAGCCAAGTCCCTTGTACATGCACTGTTTCCGTGTCTTTACTCGGGTTGTGGTTTGCTTTCACCTAAAGCCATGCGTTTCAAAAATTCATGGCAAGAAATGCCTTCCCTGCTTTTAAGCTGTACAGGACAGCAAAATGGCGAGCGTTACAAAACATCCTACAACTTCATTTCCTTCTTTCAAATACAGATTTCAAACGGAGTAGCAATAGAAACATCCATCCAGTCTAACAGAGACATCTTGGTTTCCTAAATAAGATTTCAGACAAGCGTTTCCAGTGAAGTTCAAGGACGCTAAGAGCCCGGTTCTTACAGTTGTATTAAGCTGTTATAAATCACAAAATAAATGACCCGTTGAAGAGTGAAATGTCAGTTGTTTTGAGGACCATTTGCAGCTCATATGGTATTGAACAAATGGAAACAGTTATTGGTGGCAATTTCATTGTTCATGTATCTGAAGAGTATGATCATAACTAGGCCACACCAGACGGGGAGGTCTTCGTAGTTTGATTCATCTCTAGCTTTGCCTGTGGTGTGCCTTCCCTGCAGATTTCCTTCACATCACCAAGAAAAAAAAAAACAAAGAGCGAAATGTTACACCAGCAAATTCTCATAAATACTCCTATGGTTGTTGCGTAGAGTTTACCTTTGAAGATGTGGACAGATTGAAGGGTGCATCGTTAACATGGATCTGTGGTTCAAAACCGAAGTTGGTTTCTGATGAGGTAATATTTGTCCCTGAAGGAATAGTGACTGGTTGATTTGAGATAGTGCACTGGGGTGGAAGATTAAGAGAATTTTGCTCTGAGCTTTCTTCATTTGCAGAAAATATGCCTGCTAATGTGTTGGTAGTTAACAATCCAATCCCTTCATCAAAGCTCATTCCTGACAAGGGCAGCTGCATTGGCTGTAGTGCTCCTGGTAAGCACATCGGGTGCAAACTCAATCCATTTCTCATTGTTAGCATCTGTAAATCAACCATGATATGAATCATATAATATGCTACAGAGACAAATAACTGCATTGTCCATACTGACAGACCTATTTTTGCTATTATTCCCAGTGAAGCCATCTAGTAATTTCACATGCTAACATTGAACTTGGCAGAGAATCAGAACTTTTAGAATGTTACTCCATGGAAACAGTATCCAATATAGATATGTAACTTTAAAACCAGTTAGTATCTACTCTGCACAGCCTCTGGCGTGAGGGTTTTGCCCCAGCCCACAACCCCATGGAAATTTAAGCAAACAAATGTTCACCCAGGTACAGAAAACCAAGTCATCCAACTTATATTCTAAGTGTAGGAAGTCATGCTCAGTCATGACTGCAAGAAGACCCGGTCCTGTAGTGCAGAGCAGTAGCATTCAAAACCATTGTAAAACCAAATTTGAGTCAGAGTCATCTTTGTAGCATACAAGGTGAAAAATTAGATTCATTTTTTTGCCAATCAAAGACAAAGTTGAAAATGGTCAATTTGCTGCTCTTTCTACCAACCAAGATAGTAATTCCTTGAGCCTTAAAATCAAAGTCAAGAAATACAAATACATACTATATAAATGATAACGCTTGATAGGCCTGCCTGTATTGGATTATGGATTAGAATGCCTAAAACTTCTATGATGCTTAGACTTTAGAAAGATCCATTAGAGAAGACATGAAAGTAAATAGATCAGAAATGGGTGTATCATTGTTCTAAAAATTTTAACCAGATGCTCTAACTATATATAAGAATTGCATGGCCTAGAAAGTAAGAGACCGTTCA